TCCAAGGTATCACTTTGTTGGACATGGAGATTCTCAGGCATCTTCCCTGATCCATCAAAGGTTAAATTGCATTTCAACACATCTCCAGAGGCTCGTAGGCTTTACCCTATGAGGAGCGGTGGTATATGCCACCACCCAGTGTGGTCCTTTGTTTTGGTTTTCCTTTGTGCTTTTCCTGACCTATGGCAAGTAAATTGTCGCATGTGTGTTCAGATTAAAGTGGGAAGTGCACTGTAGGTTTAGGATCTCAGCTGCAGTTTGCATGAAGATTGACACCTGTGTTTGAGTTTCGCTCCTGAAGGAGGTCCTGAACTTTAGCCTCATTAAAATCTTGTCGGTTGACCAGTTCAGATAGGATCCTCCTACTCAAGGCATTCAGAACCTCAAAATTTTGAGATAAACTGAAGTTTGCATTACCTTGTCAGAAGTGTCATCTGTCCTGGAAAATAGCGGCAAGAAAGTGCAATTTCTGTTGCTAAAACTAGCAGGACTTTTTGTTTAAGATTAAAGAATCTGCTATGCCCTATGGGACACCTGGATGTGTCACACATGTTCCAAACTACAATGCCCAGAAGAGCAGCTTAGTTTTGTCCCAAAGGGAATCCTTGAGCACTATGACGGGAATTTTCATTCTTCGTCCCTTCCCCTTCTGGCAAGAACGCACAATCCTATGGGCTGGGTCTTGTGTTTGAAACAATTTGATATACATAACCATTTGGTATAAGTTTTCCTGAGCTTGGTACAAGAGCCTCCAGACTGAATCAGTGTTGCTACTTACGTTTTGTCATTCCGGTGGTGGTGTGTATTTTTCTACTTTAGAAAGCCTAACCTTGAAAGAACACTAGAAAGAATTTTTTCTAACTTTAGAAGATACGGGTAGGAGGAAAATGATTTTTACAATATTCATTATTCTTTATATGTAGAGTCAAAGAATTGCTACAATAATTTTACATGGTGTTCCAGAGGCCCAAGAGCCAGGTGAGTGATAAAAAATTAGTGAGTAATTTTTACCTTTAGTTTCTATAACCTAGATAAGCAAAAGAGCTGTGAGACTGAATTATTCCCCTTAACAAGTTCTTATTATCTAGTAACACAGCTATAATGGCATCATAAGGTAAATATTGTTGAACTCGAATGTTAATTTAATCTTCATTTAAACATCCTTTCATGATTCCTACAATCAAATCTTTCTGGTTATTCTGATGAAGGGTCCATTATGTTTAACTGATCATATTTTGTGATTCAAACTTTTAAGGTAAGTCACTGACATATTATCTCTACCCTTTCTTCTACTTCTCACAATACTTCCATGGACTATTTCACTTACGTGTAGCAAAAATTGATAGTAACTGCTCCTTCACTGTTCTTCCCAGCATATATGGCTTAATTGATACCAATACACAAATTCACCTTGAACTATTTCAATTACTTGGTGATTTGAGGTCACATGAAAGAAGTTCTAAATAAAATCGTTTAACAGTTGCAATCGTTGGCTTTGGTTACTTGTATCACCGTATTCCAGTCCAGTCCAAGGCTCAATATTATTCTGCTTAGAAAGTGATGGAAAAAGGTGCCCTCAAGTAAAACCATAAGGATTTCTAGGAAACATCACTTCTAATCATTTTAATAACAAACATAAAGCAACTCTTAAATACAAAAAAACGTTCAGGCAGTGCTAATATATTAATGAACGGCACAAAGTTGCAAAGTAAAATTTGACCTGAAATCTCTTGCATACATATATTACACAGGAAAATTAAATTTGAGCAAGAGAAAAAGAGAAGACTCCCAATGTTGACAACTCGAAATAAAAATCAAGGTTAATGTAGAAATTAAGCTACAGATTCTGGGAGTTTCCCTTTTGGTTTTCGATAGTCTTATTTCTGATATATTTTTTAAAATTTAAATTCAATTAGCCAACATATATAACTCATTAGTTTCAGATGTAGTGTTCGATAACTTCTCTCTGATGCATTCTTAATCCTTCTTCTTTTCTTGTCTTTCCCACACTTTTCCACCCATGTGTTGGCTATTCTCTGCCTATTTTCTCTTCCTCCATTTTGTGATCTTTTCATCCACCTAACTTCTCCTTCTGTGGTCTTCTTTCTTTTCTTACTGCCTTGCTCTCCTCTTTTGAACACTTTTCTTAAATGATATAACATAAAAATATATTGTATTTGCCCATCTGGAGCAGACATATACCAACTGTCCTCCTCATTCCTGGCGGATTCAGTGCCCTTTCCTTGCTCACTGTTGAGCAACTCGTTTCCCATTCACTGCTCATTATTCTCTGGCCTCGACTGCATCACATTCCAGAAATTGCTCTCACTAAAGCCACCGCAAATCTCTCAGTCTCCATACTCAATCACATCTGTTCACTCTTTTCCCAGCGAACATGTATTTTATCCACTGACACCATAACTCTCTTTGTCTTTTTTGAGTATCTTTCTCACTTTATGTTCATGACATTCATCTGTCCTGCTTCCCTTCTCTTCTTGATCATTTTGTTCTAAAAATCCTCAGAAAAGGATTTTCTTGTTCTCTCTCTCTTTTATCGCTGTCACTCAGAGCTATTGGTTCCATCAAGAAATGATATTTTAAATGGATTTTCTGTAACACAGACATGCTAGGGATTTGAAGGAAACAAATGGGCAGCAACAGAAGGAAGCAAGGCAGTCTGTCAATAGTAAACTCACGTCCCAACTTTGGTTCCATGAGGGTTGCTGTCACTGCTGCTGTGTGGGAATGTCACTGTTCATACCAATAGTATCATTATTGCGGGTGCAGGACGCATTTGCTGGAAACTTCATATTGTGCCTTGGCTTCCTTAGCAACTCAAATTCTGTTTTGTCCTTGTACCTTTTCCTCCCTCACTCTAAATTCCTAATCCAGTGTGGCTGAGTGTAGTTTGCCAAAACTACATCAAGTTTCCTCACTCCAGTTGTTAGGGGGATAGAAAGTCAGTGTATATAGCCCTTTGGCTCCCAGATTGGGTGGCAGATTTTGCTTGGCACCAAGATTATATGGTAGAAAAGAGGATCAGATTTGCTTTCTAAAATTGACATATATTTTCCATAATCATATTAATATGCTTTTGTCATTTTTGCTGCTCACCACTCTCTTCACTTTATGTATTGGCCAAAGGATAGGTCATATATGAGTATGACCTCAGCTACTTCAATGACTTCCAACTCATTATATGTAGTAAACTCATACTACAAATTATATACCCTCTGGATGTTCAGAGGACACTCTCTCTACAAATGGGCACTGCATCCTAACTTTCATGAATTTTTAAAAATTAGATTATATTTTATGCACAATGTTACATTAGTTTCAAGTGTACAACACTGATTATACCTCATGCTATGTTCACCACAGGCGTAGCTACCATCGATTACCGTTCACTGCTACTACAGTATCATTGGCTATACTCCTTACGCTGTGACTTTACCTCCCATGACTTATTCAGTCCATAATTCAAAGACTAAATCTCCCACTCACTTTCACCCATTCGCCAAGCCCCTCCACATTTCTCCCCCATGGCAATCAAGTTTTTTCTCTGTACTTTAGGTTGAATCTGCTCTTGTTATTTATTTGTCTTTTCTTTTAGATTTCATATATAAGGAAGATCAGCATTTATTTTTCACTCTGACTTATTTCACGTGTGTAAATGCCTCTAGGTGCTTCCCTGTTATGTCAAATGGCATAATTCTATCCTTTTTATGGCTGGATAATATTTCACTGATGTACGGTGTGTGTGTGTGTGTGTGTGTGTTTGTATCTATTTGTCCATGAGTGGACATTTAGGTTGCCTCTCTACCTTGGCCACTGTATAAGGCTGCAATAAACATAGCAGCACATTTATTTTTTCAAATTAGTGCTTTTTTTTTTCTTTTGGGTAATGAAATCTACCCAGTTACCAAATGACTCCTCTGTTCTTCCCTGACCTTCTCGTCACCTCCAGTGTGTCACAGAAGTGGTGTCTCTACACTCTGAACTCTTCCATTTCTGTCTTCTTTTGTCCTATAGAAGAAGTCTTTTCACCCATGGACTAGTCACATCAAATGTATTTGAATCAATTGAGAAGCAAGTGTAAAATGCAGGTTATAGGACTTCTTTCTTGACCCACTAAATCTAATTCTAAAGAAAGTTTCATAATCTATATACTCTGAAAAGCTGCTCAGAGAATTCCAGTGTATAATCTGGTTTGAAAACCAGGAGACAGTAATGACCTCTTCCTGACAAGCATTTGTGACCACAACTTCACTTCCTTACTGCCTATTTCCTTTCTTTATTAAAAAAGATTTGTTTATTTACTTGAGAGATAGAGGGGGAGATAGAGAACACAGAGTGGGGGGCAGAGGGAGAGGAAGATTGACTCTCAGGCAGACTTGCTGCTGGGGGCAGAGCTTGACACAGGGTTTGATCTCACACTGAGACCATGACTTGAGCAAAACCAACAGTCAGAATCCTAACCCACTGAGCCACCCAGGCACCCCTGTGCAGCTGATTTTCTATACTATCATATATTCATTTAAAAATTATCCCAGTCTCACTCCCTTATGTTTTTGGAGCAAGGCAGTTCCCTGATGGATAATGTTCAGGATCCCTCAAGTGCTATTCAACTCTGTATTACCCAGGCTCTTCAAGCTTCTTTTTTGTTCACCACTATCCACCATGTCCTTGACAAAGAATTTCCCTTTGGTACTCAATCTGATCCCATAGATTTAGCACTTACATAAAATTTCTTTCCTTTTCCCAGTTCTATTCATTATGGGTATTCTTTTTTCATCATGGATATTTTAAAAGTTGATATAATTGCATTAATTTCTAAGCCCTCAAAAGAGATTCCACCCAATACAGAGGTAACACACAAAATTGAGAGAGGATTCTGATGTGCATAATTTACTTCAACACTCCTCTTCATATTTTCACGTTGTAAATTCAATGAGTTTTTCCCATTTATTGTTTCATCTCAGGCAACACCTGGTGAGGACATGGAAAGGGAAAATGCAACCTTGTTGACAGAGCTGATTCTCACAGGCCTCACATATGAACCACAGTGGCACATTCCCCTGTTCCTGGTGTTCTTGCTTATCTATCTTCTCACCATTGTGGGGAACCTTGGTCTGATTACTCTCATCTGGAATGACCCTCAGCTTCACATCCCCATGTACTTGTTCCTTGGCAGTCTGGCATTTGTAGATGCCTGGGTATCATCCACAGTGACCCCCAAGATGCTGGTCAACTTCTTTGCCAAGAACAAAACGATCTCTCTCTCTGAATGTATGATACAGTTTTTCTCTTTTGCAATCAGTGCAACGACGGAATGCTTTTTGCTGGCAACAATGGCTTATGATCGCTATGTGGCCATATGCAAACCATTACTTTACCCAGTGATTATGTCCAATACACTGTGCATCCGACTGTTAGTTTTGTCACTTTTAGGTGGACTTCTCCATGCCATAATTCATAATGCTTTGTTATTCAGACTAACCTTCTGTGATTCCATCATAGTACATCACTTCTATTGTGACATTATACCCCTGCTTAAGATCACCTGTACTGACCCTTCTATTAATTATCTGATAGTATTTATTTTTGCTGGGTCAATACAGATGTTCACCATTCTGATAGTTCTTGTCTCCTACACACTAGTGCTCTTCACAATATTAAGAAAGAAGTCTCTACAAGGCATAAAGAAAGCCTTCTCCACCTGTGGGGCCCATCTCTTATCTGTTTCCTTGTACTATGGTGCTCTGGCCTTCATGTATGTGCGTCCCGTAGCTGCACAGTCAGAAGAGCAAGATATGATAGACTCTCTCTTTTACACCATCATAATTCCTTTCTTAAACCCAATTATCTACAGCTTGAGAAACCAGAAAGTCATAGATTCATTGAGAAAAACATTAAAGAGAAATTCTTAGAACTCAAATTCTTCCTCTAAATAGTAGGACTAAACAATATCCCACTACAATAACTTTTCATGGATTGTCATACCATTATATTATATGGTATACATATCTAGAACTCTATATATGCATATACATATATTTATTCATATATGTATATGTATAAAGTGAATGATATATAAAGGTATCTACATACATATGAAGTAGATTGTACATTTCCCCTGCAGATAATATACTTGCTATGTGTTGCTTAGTTTGTTATTGTGCTTTTTAATTAATTAATTTATTTTTATTCATTTATTTTTAAAAGATTTTATTTATTTATTCTTGAGAGACACAGAGAGAGAGAGGCAGAGGGAAAAACAGGCTCCCTGCAGGGAGCCCAATGTGGGACTCGATCCCAGGATCAGGATCACACCCTAAGCCAAAAGCAGACTCTCAACCGCTGAGCCACCCAGGTGTCCCTGTTTTGTTTTTGTTTTTGTTTTTCTTTTATTTAAGCAGTCTCCACACCTAGTGTGGAATCCAGCACAGGACCTGAAATCATGACCCAGAGATCAAGACCCTAGATGATATCAAGAGGCAGACATCCAACCTACTGAGCCACCCAGGCACACATGTTGATTAGCATTAAACTTTTTTTTGCAGTTATAAATGACCTAGTGTCAATGACTTTAGGTGGGAATATAAATAAATACCTAAATATGCATGTATGTGTGTAACACACTTACTTTTGTTCTTCTTGGCATTATTCGAGGTTCATTCCCCTAAAACTTTGATATTACTCTAAGGTCTCACCCTTTAAAATTCTCTTAATGCTTTTGTGTTATCAGCCAAATGAGTTACTGAAAGCCTTTTTGACCTTTTTTACTCATCTACACATTTTTGTTCACACAGGTTTCTCCACAGAGAACACTTTCCCAACTGCACTCACCTTCAGTTATAATTGAAGTGGGTCCTTTCTTCAAGATCTATCTTAAATGTAACAGCTTCCTTGATGCATTTCTATATTACCTCAAAGAGGATTAGGGATGCTCACTTGTTTAATGTATTGCATATTTTGTTTATTCTTTTAGGCCACAAATGGCTGGTGTAATACTTATTTTTGTCTTACAAGCTTCTTTAGATTACAATTTAGAAGTCCTAGTACTCTTCCAATCTTTGCAGTGTTTTGCAAAGTCTCTCAAACCCATGAGGTCCTAAATAAGTATGTCTAAAATGTATATGAACTTAAAGTGAAACTGACAGCAAAACTAACTCAAATGAAATGAGAATATATCACTCATTTCCACGTAATGAGCTTGGGCGATTCCTAGGCCTGGCTTGTCTATGGCAGGCTGGCTCACTTTCTTTCAAGAACTCATGAACATCATACACCCAAAGTAAATTATTCTTCTTATGATAAGGATTAGCCCCTGGGACAGAGTATAGGACAACATCAGGGAGAAGCTCTTTAATTGGGTGTTTGTTTAAAGATATGAAACGTGAAAGTATTTAAAACAAATTTTGCTATGTATTTCTGGAGTTTTGGGTCACAAGATTAGACCAGGTCATATGCCCTATTTTGTTTCCCTGAGGGATATCTCTAAGCCAAGGAAAGGGAGTAAATATATCAAAGTCCAGAAATTGTTATTATTTTCCCTAGAGAATACATGTTATTGCATAGATCTGTAGTTTAATTCTTTTTGTTGTATAACCTTCCCATTGTGCTGATTTTTTCTATAAATTATCTGCATTTTTGCATTATCTACATTTGCATTACAATATTGCACATAACATTATGACCTGAAGCCTGTATTGGTAATAAAAGCAACTGCTGTGTGTTCCTTCATAACCATGAAGACCTTAACTGACCTTTTCTTTGAACAAAAAGATTAACATCAATCTATGAATATATGGGTCTGGTGTATACAGTGTCTGGTCCTACTTTAGTTTGAGTGGGTATGGAATAGTCTTTGGGGTTCTCAAAGTCTCAGATTTCTTCTGTAGATTTCTTTTGTACATGTCTCATCTGTAGATTCCACTGCCCTAATATATCTTTTGTTAAACTACCAACTACTTTATGCCTCCCAGAAATTCACTAAAATCTCCTGTTCACTGATGTGCTCCCATTCTTTTTTGTTTTTAAGATTTTATTTTTTATTCATGAGAGAGAGAGAGAGAGAGAGAGAGGCAGAGACACAGACAGAGGGAGAAGCAGGCTCCATTCAGGGAGCCTGATTCGGGACTCAATCCCAGACCCGGGGATCACGCCCTGGGCTGAAGGCAGGTGCTAAACTGCTGAGCACCCAGGGATACCCAATGTGCTCCCATTCTTATTTCTGTTACAGAATTTTTCATTTTTGTACATTTTTGTCAGTTCAATGTCATGTTGGGAAAGACCTAAAGTATACATTTCTGTGAAGTCCACATTTTAGATAAGATATTCTGCAAATTTTTAAAAAGTAAACTAAGAAGTTACATTTGTATTGCTTAATGAATATTTAGATGTAAAGGATGATATACAATGTTAGGTTCATCCAGTTGTCTGGACTAATGATAAATGTGGATTAAATCAACCCCTCAAAACAATAACAATATAATATAAGCACCCTTTCTTATGAACATATTGATTTTCCTACCTGGAGATGTAAAAGAATTCATAGTTCCTCCTTCAGTATACATATATATACATTTTTTTTCTTTATCATTTTATAATACTTGTTGAGAAGTTGCTGACAACATTATCTTAGACTGTGGTCAAAGAATAAAAAACACTTAGAACTTAGGTAAAAGCAAATACCAATGGGGTGAGCTAAGATGGTGAGGTAGTAGGAGAACTCTAGGCTTGCCTTGACCCTGAAACACAGCTAGGTAATATATAAAATCATTGTGAATACCCAAGAAAATGTATCTGAGGATTGACAGAACAAACTGCACACAACTAGAGGGGAAAAAGAGGCCATATCATGGAAAGTAGGAGGTGTGGAGCTGTGGTTTGGTGGAAAAAGATATCATGGGTGCTGGAGAGGGGAAGGAGGCCTGGCCGTATAGTAAGGTGAGAGAAAGAAAGAGAGAGAATGAGAGAAAGAGAGAGGAGCACACTGTGAATTGCACAAGGAAAACACTTTTGGCTTTCCCAAAGCCATTGACTGGGAAAAAGGGAGAGGTTGATTTGTGTGAGTTTTTACAATGAGTTGGTGCTCAAAGACTGGAATTTTAGATGTCCATGGTGTGGAACCCTGAGGGCATAGCAGTGCTCCTATGAAGAAGGTGGGCAGATAGCCCAAGGGGTAGAGGCGTGATCTGAGGTTCCCTGGGACACACTCAGAGAGATGGCTCCTTCTTCTTGGAGTGCATCTGGGAAAGGTGGCATTGCCTCTCTATGAACAGAAGAGCCTGGGTGCCATTTCCTTCCCCTGCTCCTCAGCACAGGTGCAGAGACACCTGCTGAGGGCAGTTATCTTGAACACTAACACTTTGTTGTGCTTTAGCCCAAACCCCATGCTCCTGCACTTTGATGCGACTGCCCCTCTGGATCAAACTACAGCAGTCCCGGCCCAACAGGACACTCCCTCAGAGGACCAATGGGGGTCCACACCATGCCAGGTCCCTAATGTTTGGAGTTTTAAAAGTCAGTAAGCCTGCCTGGGATAGAGCCCAAGGTACACTACACTGCCAGGTGGACAGATGGCCCAGACACAAACAGTGTGAAGGAAGTGATCTGAGGGACAGCTGGGACTTATCAGGGGAGATGTTCATGTTCTTTGAGGGCTTCTGGGATAGAAGCAGGTGTGAACTCCCCTTTCCTGTGACAAGGAAGCTGGCTGGTGTCATTTCCCTTCCCCACTGCTCAGCATAAACTAATTGTTAGCACAGTGCCAACACTAGCAGCCTAAACTGCTTACACCAAACCATTACCCTCTGTGCTCTGCTGGTACTGCTTTTCTTGGGCAAATGTGCTTGAGACCCAGAACAGCAGAACTCTACCCAAGAAAACCAGCACAAACCCCTGCATGTACCAAATCTACTGATCACAGAGTTCTGCAAAGCTCCACTTCTAGTGGAAATAGCATCAGGTCTCTTTTAACAAGCAAACTGGAGCACACCTAATTAAAACTCGCCATGCTCTGGCTAGGATCCAGACATTCCCCACTACAGGCAAAGAGAAACTCTGCAGAAGACTGACCTGAGGGAAAGAGAAGTCAAAACACAGCAGCAGAGTGCACACAGCATACACCAGAGACACTTCCTGAAGCACAGTATATGACTTCCTCTTCTTAAAGCTATTACTGTCAGAAGCAGGAAACATAACAGACTTTCCTAACATACAGAAGGAGACAGACCTAGACAAAATGCCAAGATGGAGAAATTCATCCCAAAAGAAAGAACAGGAAAAGGTCATGGCCAGGTATTTAATCAAAACAGTTATAATATGCCTGATCCAGAATTTAAAGCAACTATAATAATGATACCAGCTGGGCTTGAGAAAATCATAGAAGACATTAGGGAATCTCCTACCACAGAGATATAAGAACTAAAAACAAATCAAACCAAAATGAGAAATGGAATACTGAATTTTGAAACTGACTAGATGTAATGACCACAAGGATGAAAGAAGCAGAGGAAGAATAAGTGATATAGAAGATAAAATTATGGAAAATAATGAAGCTTCACAAAAGAGGGAAAGAAAAATCTTGAATAGAGGGAAAAGTGGCCAGAAGGATTATTTGAGCAAATATAGATGAAAACTTCCTTACTCTGGGGAAGGAAACGGACATCCAAATCCAGGAAGTAGAGAGAACTCCCATTAAAATCAATAAAAGCAGGCTAATATCAAGACATATTAGTTAAATTTGCAAAATATAGAGATAAGGGAAAAAATCCTAAAAGCAGCAAGTAAAGTCTCTAACTTATAAGGGAAGATAAAGTAGATTAGCAGCAGATCTCTCCACAGAAACTTGACAAGCCAGAAGAGAGTGGTGTGATATATTCAACGTGCTGAATGAGAAATACGTGCAGCCAAAAATACTCTA